GCGTCAATCAGCGCTATTATGTTCTTGTAATTTACTATGCGTATTCTTCTCGCTAGATGGCAGCGGCAAAGACCAAGTTCCCAAAAGCATAAATTATTCACAATTTGCATTAATTTGTTCGTTTTAAATTTTTTTTTCAATATTATAAATTAAATTATTGCAAAAATAAAAGTGGGATTAAATTTAGGACTATGTTTCTGAACTGAGAACGGGTGTTCCGGTTAAATCTGTTCCGGATGTTTGACAGTTCAAGTGTTCAAGAACTATCCAATGTTGATCCAATCGGTTCATACTCTGTGGTCGGGAGTAGTTGGGCCGATTTTCGAACTATTAATTTTTGCTCTGACATTGAGGTTAGATTTATTCACAAATCACAAATTACTCTGGACACCAAGGCCGTGGCGCCATCTATTAGCAGTAAGTTATAGGAGTGACATTTAAACATTTTGACGTTTAGTAAATGAACTAATGAACAATTAAAAATAAAAGAAAGTCCTAAATTATAGTTGTGGAAAGTAATAGGTCTGTTTCCACAGAAATCACAAATCAGAGCCAGAGCGTTTTTGATTGGTCCAAATTAGGGAATGCAATCTTGCAGCAAAATTTTGATCTCGGTATTTGCAAGATTCAAGATGTCTAATATGTCAGAAACAATCGCTCAGCTATGTTACCGATTTTTATCAAAAGCAGTGATTGAAAACATGTATGGAAAATGCTTTCTGACAGTTTGCGAACAGTTGCATCCCCTTGTCCAAATCGCCAACAACCAGTTTCCTGACTATTTTCAGCCAATAAAACCAGTCTGACTGATTTCTGATTTCTGTGGAAACAAACCTAATAATAATTCCCGTGGTATCATAAACCAAAATTTCTATTTTTTCTCAAAGTTGTACCTGTCCAAGGAACTCCCGCGCGGGAATTAAGACCCTGTTGATGATTATCGTAACCCAGGTATTATATGGTTATAATAGTTCAGTAGGATATAAATAAACTATCTTTCTAGTATTTCAAATTTCAAAAATATTTTCACGCCAGAGGGGAAGTTATTAGTGATAGGGGATAATAAAAGAATATACTAATATAGGTACTTAATGAGTCCAATAACAATAACACAAAAGTATAATCGAAAAGCAATCACGCCTCGGTCATAGTTTTCTTATGATGAATAGGGCTGGGTATGGCCAGCTAATCATGGTCTGAGCGGTTCATAGGATTAAAAAGTAGGGCTGGGGCAACAAAAGTAAAGGAACTGGTCCCCGTTCTTGATAATATAACAATTCAGAAGATAATATTATTGGAGCTGAAATTTTTGGTGTAAGATTCACAAGAACTTATAAAAAAGTTTTTTTACTAAGACGGCAGATGGCGGCCCAATTTTGGTGTCCGGCCCACCGGGCATTTGCCCGGTGTTCCGGCGGTCTCATCCGCCCCTGCATATCTCATCAAAACTGACTTAAAGTTACAAACTACGCGCTTTATATACGAAACCAGTCAAACCAGAATAACCTAGAATTCACTACTCTCGCAAATTATTGCAATTCACCCAATGGAAAATGAATATAATATTCTCGCGTGATTCTCGCACCCGTCGTGCTCAGTGGCGCTGGCTTTTCCGCGCAATGGAATGTCCTGACAATAATATCAATGGCGCCCTTGAAAATACTTATTATATCAAACTGTGTTATAGCTGCGTATATTTCCCGCGACGAATCTTTCGAGGGCAGCGCCACGCCTGTGCCAACAAACGCAATAAAGAGTTTAATGCACCATGTAGGTATGACGTCAGAATGCCCATATATATATTTTGTTAAATACATCAAACAATGCGACGCACTTTGAAACAATTTTAAATACCACTATTTGTTTGAATGTCATCTATGTTGATTTACAAAATCCACTGTAGGTTGGTTATAGCATTTTGGACACTAACCTTTAATCTATGGTGCGTTTTTCATATCTGATTGACCTAGATCACGGTCAAGGTCCTCTAGCAATTAGGCACTGATTGTAATAACTGACTTGCGTGCGATTTGACGCCGTCCGCCCCTTGTATGCAAAATGTGGATGGAACTTAGGATCTTATTTTTTATACACTTGACCATAGTAAACTGCTATTAAAGTAAATGTTGAAGAGATTCAGTAAATTGGTATTATTGTTCGTATCTATCAGATTCGTTTTCAAAATTTTCCACTTTCCCTTTATGCAAGTTAAAATTACGCGCAACCCTGTGTCTTCTGTAAAATCTCTTGCGCTCCTTCTCAGTTAATATTTGGAAAGCTCTAACGATCAGTTAAAATATTACCCTATACCTTCTTTGACAAGAAACTGAAACTTGCAAATTAAACAATTAGAAATGATGCAATGTTTCAGTGACGTCAAAATTAATGACACCATTGTTTAGAGCACTAGAAACGAGTCGTAAATGTAGCAAACGTGGAAGCCTGTGATTGAACCACAGGCAGTGTCTCACAAATAAATACATACAGCTAAGGATGGTTACGTAATAACCATGCAAGCTTTAAGTGCAGGCGGACGACGTTGCCAGGTCTATTTTTTAATCAGGCAATATTTCTAACGAATGAGAAGTTTTCTTCTGGGAAGTTTTACATTAATTGAAACGTCAATGAAATTATACAAGTTAATTATAATTTTCAATTAAAACAAAATCATGCAAAGTGCTACAACCAGCTCAGGCTTAGGCACAATTGTTTTCTATCTTGACTAGGTATACAGGGCGGTGCTTTGTCAAATATAATAGCCCGAGAGAACATTTTGGTGGCAAAATGTGTGGATTTTTAAGAGAGTTTGTTGTCAGGCAATTTTGTGAATTAAATTTTAGGTGATTTTTTTGTTTTGTCATCAATTTCAATAAAACGAGAAAAATATTTTGCCTGAAAATTTGTTTCTTGAGGGGGCTTTAATCACATTTAAATATGTCAGTTCTGTGCTCTGATTGGTGGATTTTTTCAAATTCATCTGCGAAGAGAAAAAAATCCTCACATCAGCATTGGCTCAAATTTGGCATGAACACTCTTTGATTGATTATCTACAATACTAATACTTTAGGTTTTTCGTTTTTTTTTTTGTGTAATCTCTCTTTTTTCTTCGAAATATTCCATGACGACCTGAACCTTGACAAATAGCAACCTGATATACAGGGTGTCCAAGATAAGGATGTCTATCATGGGGATCTCGTAACCGGTAATAGATACGGAAATGATTGAATGGGAAAAAAGTTGCGCTATTCAATGACTAACAATATGCATGCAAGAAATTTTAAAAATTCTGACAACTTCCGGAGATATTCCGAATATCTCTCAAAGTTGTCAATTCTTTTTTAATTTGTTGGATGCATTCTGTTAGTCATTAAATAGCGCAACTTTTTTCCCATTCAACCATTGCCGTATCTGTTACCGTTTACGGAATCCCATGATAGACATCCTTATCTTGGACACCCTGTATATATAATATTCAAATCGAAATTGGTTACCCGTGATATTTGGATGAAATTTAATTATGTTATTGGGGATGCCGTAAGCAACTTTTTTACCATGGGCACAACCTTTGATGAACGAAATATCGATTTCTACGAAGTCGAACAAGGTCAATCGAAAAATTTCAAACATTTTGACACCTGTCAAAACTATGTCAAACGGCAGCACTCATAATGTTCAGTTTTCAATATTGTATGATATGTCATTTGGTATTTTTCGCTTGTATGTAAATGGGCCACTTTCACATTTTGCAAAAACATATTTAAATGGTTATTTTAGTCATTCTCATACTATCTGTTCACTTTTTTTCCAAAAAAAAAAACGCCTATTTTTAAAAATAAAATTATTTAAAAATCGAACTTTTAAACTGCCGCGAAAACGCTGGATCGATGTGTGACGTCACAACCCGGAAAATGATTAAAAATGCCAGGATGCCAAATTTCTGATTAGTACATCATTGCACAACTCATCACTTAGAGACTATTTTCGTCCTTTACTACGTTCTACAAAAATAAAGGATAGGTATAATCGTTGAACTCATATAAATTTCGCATTTTTAAATGTGACAGCAAAATCATGAATATCGGTTTTAACCAATGAGAGGGTGTTTTCGGTCACGTGATTTTTTATTTTTATTTATTAATTTATTTATTAATTTGACTATAATCTTGCCTTATTGTTCGTTCTCTGTTGTATTCATGTATCTGCGTCAAAAAATATCATAATTTGCCATATTCCCGGCACGTGAAAGTGGCTCATTCTGAGTGCAAAAAAATTACAGAACTGTTGTTTTAGTAGAAAAAAAGACTCTAATCTGTTTCTTTTTCGCTTTAAGTTAAGGTAGTTTGTTGGTGATAAAACATTAAACAAAGTTATTGAAAGATTCTGACAGCTGTCAAAATGGGTCGTGTATGAACTTTGTTTTTTCCTACTAAAAAAAAATTACAGGTTCTGACAGTTCTGTAATCTTTTTTGAAAATTTTGAACTCACAATTTACATACAAGCTGAAAATGTCAATTGACATATAAAATATTGAAAAATTGCCGTTTGGCATGGGTTTGACAGGTGTCAAAATGGTTGACATTTTTCGATTCACCTTAATCGACTTCGTAGAAATCGATATTTCGTTCATCATGCTGCCATAGTTACTCTGCTTTTGGATATTAGATTACAATATTTGACAGCTAACACCGCCTCACCTGTCATATATACAAGGTTGTGCCTATGGTAATTGGTAAAAAATGTTGCTTACGGCATCCCCAATAACATAATTAAAATTCATCCAAATATCAGGGATAACCAATTTCCATTCAAATATTGCGGGGTCCTTTGACCCAATTCTGATGTGAGGTTTTTTTTCTCTTTGCAGACGAATATGAAAAAATGAACACTGAACTCTTGTATTTCAATGTCATTAATGCCCTCCCAAATGATATTCGACATAATTATATCACGAGAAATAAAACTCATGTTTATTTTTTTTAAACTAGATTGCACTTTTCAGACTGGCAGTGCTCGTTGTTTTGACTGTACAATATTTTGTTGCTGAAGAGCCATCATGTTGGTTTGTCTAGGCAGATCCACGTTGAGAGTTTGGCAATAGAAACACTCGGGTGGTATATGAATACATATAAATAGAAAAATGATCGTCTTATACAAGGCGGTGCAGAGGAAGGCCTGGCATGTTTTCTGAATGGATGCACAAGAGCGGTTGGAGATGTGTGACCGCGAAGCAAGGTGACACTTGATTGACATTATTTTCCATCATTAATTTAAAAGTGCACTATTATTATTTCATTTAGCTGTAATTAAAACAAAATTATCTTGAAAATAAAAAAGAGTTTCTTTTGTTTTAAATATATTATTCATATAAATGGTAGGTACCGAGTTTTATTTTGTTGTTGGGCCGAAGTCGAAATTAACTTTCAATATTCACGATATTATTCATTTATTCAACTATTACGGTACCCTCCTTTATTGAGACAGCTACCATCAGAGCCATCACATAACGGCTTGTTGCTAGGTGCAATTCGGAAAAGTGGGTGATAATGGGCTCTTTCACTAAAATTTAAGTATTAAATCCCAAAGGAGGGACTATTTTAGGCATATATACAAAAAAAAATGTTCTACAAGATTAAATAAGTTTTTTAGAGGCACCTTAAACTGGCCAAATTCAAAATGATTTAAAACGCGCCAACTGATGACGTCACATGAATAATTTTCATTTGGCCCATGTAGCTGCATGCGGCTCGGCTGTGTGTGTAGTCAAAGCAGGTAAAGGTTCGAATGCGCTGTTGTCGGTTGTGACTAAATGTAGTGCGACATAGAAAAAAATAAAATAAAACTAAACATAAAAAATGTATTCAAATTGTGTTTAAGCATAATTTCCGAAAAAATTGCATAAAGTCTTGAATCCATAACTAAATAATTTAACTACTTTTCATGGTATTTTGCCAACATTTCAGAATAGGGTGGTGGACAATTTTTTGAAATATTTTTTTTATTAATCTCCATAACAAAATAAATAGTAGTTGATGATTCTTTGATTTTAGAAAACAAAAATAAACCTAAAAAAAAACTTAACAAATTTGTACTTATTTTAAACGCTATAATTTACCGCCCGTAAATTACGTCATAGCTGTAGTGTCCAATAGCGTCATGGGATTCTGACATTAATAACAGTGGCGAGAGCGCGGTCTGGGCGTCCTTATATGTATTTTACATGCTTTTAGAAAAAGTGACCATTCCAGGTCACGTGACATTGGCAGTTCCGCCATATTTGCTGAGGGGCAGACAAAGCCTATAGATTATTAGTTGTATTCCTTTCAAGAGCTTGAAACACTAGAGCTACTCGCTCCGGTGTTAGTCGACCCCGATTTGAAAGAAACAGATGCGCTGGCTTTCATGCATTTAAATGGTTTGAGTCAGGCTTGAGCACTCAGGTGCAACAAACACTTTTCGAAAGGAATAAGCGCGTAACGCCCCGGAGCTGTTCCGGAGCTCCTCCTAGGTGTGAAAGAAATACAACTATTATTGTTTACACTGTTTTTTGAGTTTGTGCTTTGGAATTTTTGCGTTTTTTGATTCGTTCAATAAATTTTAAGTTGTTTTTAGTTTTTGTGAATGAATGAGATGAATGAATGAACGAATGAATGAATCTTTATTTACAGACATGCCATTTTACATTTCAATTCAACAATAGTAAACAATTTATTAACAAAAATAATGCTTAAGAATCTAAATTGTTTAAAAAATAAAAAAGTTTCATACTAACAACCTTACAAATAAATTTTAACAAACTAAATTTGTGGTAAAATGACTCTTCAAACGTTCTGACTGTTCTTCTGATCGGTGTACAGATCTGGCATGTAGCTTACTCTGGCTTGTTCATTCTGGGCTTTTATCAATTATTGTAGTATATATCCTAAATTTGTACTGGGGACCCAATCCGGATTGTTTGTGTCCTCAAATTCTGCTGCTGGACTACCTAAAAGGTATTAAAAGTTACCTACTTGTAGAAACATAAGCAAAGTTTTTGATGTACCTAGATGATGTGTTTTTGTATTTTAACAACAAGACACTCATAAAACTTACCATTAACTAAATGTTTCGAAAAAATTCGAGCATTTTTCAACAACGTTTCAGTCAAATCTCCCTTTTGAGGCATCTAATCCACATACTCCGTTGTTTTTTTGATAACTCGTTTAGGCGATCCCCTTGATCTTTAAATGCTGCTGGAATCCTAAAAAACCTCACTTTATCCCTTTCAGCTCTATTGGAGCACCCAAAAACGCTACAAAACGAAGGCATCTTCTCGGTTTGCATTAGGCAATCCAATCCATCTGTAAAAACGAAAAATTCAATATGGCGTGGCGGCCAGCGAGTTTGTTTTGAATATGTGTTTTCATGCATATTTCAATTATTTTGCTTGCAGGTTTGATTTTGATTATTCTCTAAAATATTTGTTTACTAGGTACGTAAACTATTAAATCGGGCAGAACCTAGATATTTTTTTTGTGTTTTTGGTTCATGTGTGGCCGCCACGCCATCTTGATTGTCACGTGGTTTGGATTCAAGGAGAATACACACTCTAAAGGAGTGCTTATCGGCCTCGTTTTTGGTAATCGCCGCCATATTTGTTTTCAACTGTTTTCAACCATTGCCGACGTCATAGCTAAGTCGTCAGTTGTTTATACAGCCTACGTCAAGGCGAGAAACGCCATGCTGCTTACGTCACAACTGGTCGTTTGGCTGGGGGGGGGGGGAGGGATTTGTTACACACAGGCACAGCTCCCTACATTTAACAAGCCATGAAGTTAAAAAGGCAACACCGCAATCTTACCGTCAAGTGGTGCTGGTGGTGTTTGTTTGTATAAATATATATTTTTTATTTTATTAATATGAATCACAAAAAATACATAATTTATTGTACTAAAGGGCCAAAAACAGTAATTCAATGAATAATTTAACTATTTGTGTAAATAAGAACAGTAAATAATTGATTTAAATGAATATATTTCTAGAGTCTAAAGTGTTATAGGCCTATGTTTCAGTATGTCTTTTGAAAATCTAACTTTTTCTTTCTTCGGGATTTTTTCGGAAGGCAAGTCCATTCAAATACTTGAGCTGATTTTCGAAAATAAGAGGTACCTACTTTTAAGAGTTGGACGTTTTAGTTTGAACTCTCGAACTACGCCTTTATCCTTGTTTGTTTCAAATCTAATTATTTCGGTTTCTTCAAAATGTTTACAACACACCACAGAATTTTTCGTTATTGTATAATCTCGGGTATAATTATCTTGGTGTATTGCTTTCATCCACATTTTTTGCACTTCAGAATTTTTTTGGAAATAAAAATGTTTGCATTTCTTCAGTTTTTAAGGAACTCCTAATAGTTCGATTTGCACCCCCGAACACAGTAGTTTCATGGCATCTGGAACAAGTTTAAATATCTTAGGTAATATACCGAGACCTATGCTCTTGCAGACAAATATTAATATTGTTTTTATTGTTTTACCTTACCTTACCTTCATTTTTGCTCCTGTACCCATTTGCTAAAAATTTGCAATCAAAGCACAGTGTGTTTCTATCCACTTTTTCGTCAATAATGCCCATAAAAATACTAAATTGCAACAATACACAATGAAAGCAATACACAGAAACACATAACCCAATAACAAAATAGCACCATACGCGACGTTGCCGTCATTTCCAATTTCATGGCTTGTTAACTATAGGAGGCTGTGACACAGGCCTTATGAGGATAAGCCATCCTGTAGTAGTAGTGTGTATCATCCTTGGTTTGGATTGCCTAATTGAAATTATTACTAAATCAGGTTATGTTTGGCTTGTGTCTGCCTCTCAGTTAAAATGGCCGATCGGTTATGTTATGACGTCACCCTGGAATGCCTTTCAAAAAGTGGGGTTAAGTTGAGGATGCGCCTAGATGTAATGATGCCCGACAAACGCTGATATATCTCTCTCGTTTGCTCTAATGAATAAGTTTGTATCGAATGTCGGAATTATGTTCAATTTAATTCATACTCCAATACAGCAGCTATAACGTGAAATCAAGGCGCGAAATATTTCCGTTTGAATAGTGTGTCCCAAAACTCTAGTTTTACAACCGTTTTAAACAAAGTTAATAATTTTTTCTGAAATTTCTTTTGATACGAATATTTACTTCATAGATAAGGAATGGGTCATCGATATCATTGAAATTATACCTTGTCCACTACCCTATTAAATCTATTACAAATTTTCAATATTGGCAATTAGTGGCAACACGGTTAAAATTCAAGCTGCGACGTCATAGAAATAAATTCTGGGTTTTCATTTGGAGGTATTCTTTTTTTTTCTGTTTTCTCAAGAAGGACTATGAATTTTTCAAAAGTAAAAATACAGAAAATTCTGTTTTTAGTTGCTTTATACAATTATGCAAATTTCAAAAATTAGTGAAAGAGCTCATTCCAATCCCTGAGGTGGATGGCTACAAACGATGGCAAGGTCCAAGAATCGTAAACTCTACAGGATTGCTCAATCCTTGATTGGTTTATTTTTTATTATGATAGTGCATTTTCCTTGCATTTTTAAACGTGAAAAATTGTTATTTTGAGGTAATTTCCTTTGAAAACTGTATTTTTTTAAATTTAGCAGACTTCAAAAGTTTATGTGCTTGAGTCGTTAGCTAATTACAAAGATGAGTTTGTTTGTTATCTGCTTATCAGCAAGGTAATTTCAAAATACCTACATAAATATTATATTAAAATGTGCATGCATTTCTTTTACCTTTTTTAAGGCAACAAGAAGGTACATTTATAAAATAGATATGCCTGGAATGAGATGTGGTGTGTATGGGTGTAATAACTATATTATGATCAGAAAGCAAGCAGTCAAAAATGTAAATTTTATCGCTTTCCTAAAGGAAAAGATCTTGTATCCAAAACTATTCAAAACGAGTGGATAGTTTTTTGTAAAAGAAAGGACAAACTCAAAGCAGATATGTACATTTTTTGCATTTTATTATCAAAATATAAGCGAAACGTGATTGCAATATTGTGTTTTATTTTCTACTGTTTCTACCTACTTCAATTATTATTCAATAGTTTGATAGGTACTAGACTGATTTAATATGGACATTCAAAGTAAGCTTACCTAGGTATCTCACAATGCCAAATAGTGATACCTAATTTATGGCGTTTCCGATAGACCTATCTATTTTATCAGACAAAGAGGTAATAATACGAAAACTTTATTGGATAGAAAAAGACGCAGAACGCTTATTGCGCAAGACGAGGCAGAACGTACCAAATTATGTTAGACTTACGTATAGCAATCCCTTCTTATTATTTGCACGGGATAAAAGAGGAAAGGGGAAAACCGCGTGATGTGCAACGTATTTGTCAATCAAAAACACAAACAATTGAAAATCGATCACTTGTCAAGCTACGTCAAGTTAAATATCAAGCATAATTTTATCCTTGTCAAACCACGGGCAATGAACAAGGACAAGGAGATACCCAGCGTGCAAACACCTGTGCTAGTTAGCCAATAAAAATGCATTGCCTCGTGTTTCGCGCGCATACAGGTAAAAATAGATAGGTCTATTGGTAGTAATGGTAGTTTCAGTGCGCACTGAGTGTATTTGCATCCTTTTAATTAAACTGCAGAAGAAAAAGAGAGAAATAAAAAAAATTGCACTAGTTCCGCACTAGATCTACCAATCGGAAACGCCATTAGATTTTCATAATCAGAATCCAGAAAAACAATGCAAGTTTCCCATATTTTCCATGCGTTTACATAGTAAACGCGCCAGTAAAGGAATTTATTCACATATCTATTCATTTATTTACTCTGCACAAACACTATTTTTAGTAATTACATGCAAAGGAAACTTAAAACTAAGTAGTT